AGCACGGATGCTCTTTGGCCTCAGAGATTCCCGCCATCGCTTTCTTGGCAGAGGGGCGTGTAGGGGCTACACGATTGCGCAACTCGCTCACACTAACCACCTCAACGTCTCCGTTGTCGTACACCACCTGAAACACGTGGGACCTTCCCCTGCGGCCAGCATACGATGCTATACCCAGCGACCGGGTGGTGCGACGCCCTCTTCCCTTAGACTCTCTCATAACAGCCACGCCTTGGAGGTCGCGCAGGTACTTGGGTGGCTCGGGAGCTGCACCCCGCGCAGGTTCGGACGACTTCCCTTCCAAAGCTTCAGCACTAACTCCTTTCGACTCACACTTTGGGCAAATCCATGCGCCCTCCGGTATCTCCTTCAAAGGCGGCTTAAGACAATAAGTGTGCCATCCAGTGCCGCACGCATCACATAACAACATCCATTCTTCACCATCAGGAAATCTGCACACCTCACAAGGATGCCCTGGAGATGGCCTAGCCAATCGCGGGTCGACCACGTGATCATCGATGGGCAAATGACAGGGCGCACAGTGACTGACATGGGCAGTAAGCGTGCTGCCACAGCGTCCCTCTAGCACCAACACCCCTGAGGGCCTCACCTCAGTAACCCGCAGAATATCCGGCTTGGCGTGAGGATCCAAACTGGCGCGAGCGGAGGTATTCCGATAATACACGTAGTCACCCATCTCAAAACGACGCAAACGCGGCAAAACGGCTCCACCCCTCATGCGCGCATAACGAAGAGTGTCACGATGCTGCGCAATGAGTAGGTTGCCGCCCGCCACGGCCATATGTCGACGAAGCGCGGCGGCCCGTTGCATAATAGACCTTGCCGCCGCCTCTGGGTCATCCAAACTCACGTCGCTTTCAAAACGCTGCTTAATCGCCGGTGGAATGGTGGGCTCCACGGCGTGCATGACATGGTACGGGGTAACACGCGATGCTGACTGCACGGAGCAGTTGTAGCCCAGCATGACGTACGGCAGATGCTTGTCCCACTCCTCAACTCCACCGCCAGCATGTGCAATGCGCCGGAGCGCGTTTTTGCAAGTCTGAACAGCACGCTCTGCCAGTCCGTTGGCTTGCGGGTGGTTCGCTGAGGTCTGGCGATGATCTATCAACGAATCAATCAACAATTGCGCAAACTCAGCTTTCCACTCACTGCCCTGATCTGTACATACCTCAGCACAGGCCCCATAACGGCCCAAAATGTGGTGCTGGAAGGCGAACGCTGTCTGCTCAGCATGCTTGTCAGGCAGCGGAATGAGACCCACGTACTTAGAAAAATGCTCCACACAAATCATTACGTAGGTAAAACCCCTGGGGGTCTTCTTGAACGGACCACACAGGTCCACACCCCAGCGGTAGAATAAACCCGATATTGGCAGCGGGTTGAGCTCCAGCGCCCTAGCTGAAAAGCTGGTGTTGACACGATCGCAGGCAGCGCAGTGACGTACCACCGAAGCGACATCGTCGTGCATCCCCTGCCACCAGTAGCTGGTGAGAAGCAGCGCAGTAGTGCGCCGCACCCCGAAGTGCCCAGCTTGCTCGTGGGTGCGCTTGATGATGTCAGTGCGGTCACCAGGCTTAGGAACGACGCGTGGCTTGCCGTCGTTCTCGATGCGATAAAGTGTCTCTCCTTGGAAACGGTACTTGCGTGCGCGCTGAGCACAACGCTTTTGCTCCGCCAGGTCGGTGCCAGGTGGACATTCGCCTGAGCGAAGAAGACAAATAGTGATTTCGTCGTCCCAAATATCCTGACGCCGGGCATCGGGACTGAGAGTCTGATCTTGAGCATGCGCGGCCAGCGCCATAGAGGCCCCACCCATGTGACTAAGAGGGTGAGAGGCCACGCTCTCGGCAAGCCCTTGTGAGATGTAAGCACGCTCGTGCACGACGGATCGGCACGATGCTGCAGAGAAGGCTTGCGCCTTGGCATCTTGCGCCAGGGCGCGCAGGATTGCAACAACACTGGATATAAGTGCCTGGTCAGTTGCGTTGGCCAGCACAGAGAGACGAGCATGATCTGTTAGGCCAGGAGCGGCTGACGCCCCTGCCTCATAACCCAACACGAGGTCACACTCCCCAGGATACAGGGAATCGTACTGAGCTGTAATACTGTTGTACAACGGAGTGGTGATACTCCCCACAACATCCGAGCCACGCTGCCCCACTGAGCCTGGATAAAGCGCGCGGACGGGCTTTCCAGCATGGTCACAGGGGTAGTACGGATCGCGCATCTGACACGCGGAGATGGGTGCTGAATGCTCACTGCTAAGCACGTCTTGGAGTTGTCTACCGGCGGGCCGGATTGCAGATTGCACGACACAGGTGAACTCCTCAGGCGACGCGAGGTTACTCCAACACTGGTAAAGACAGTGTGAATACGAGCCAAAGCGTGCAGCATCGATAAGGGTGGCTTTCCCAAACATCTTGTCAGCATCCTTCTCGGCTGTTTCAGACTCGTGTGTTTGGGCTGAAAGCGGTAGGGACGTGCAGCCAAGTATGCAGGCCGTTCGAGGTGAAGGAACGAGCGCCTGAAGCTCGTTTATATATATCACGCTGAGAACCTTTGGCACTGCGTCAGCTGACTGAGCGTTCCAGAACGCGATAACCAACCACAGGCTACCCTCCTGAGCTCCTGCCAACCTAAGCTCCGGACCTGTGACTTGCCGGACGTCCTGAGACAGTGCTATAAATGTATCGCTCCATGCTGAGAGCGGAAATAACTGGGGATAGGCAGCGCTGAGTGCTGGCAATCGCGCGGCGGCCACCATCCTTGCATGCTGGTCTATGTCCGAGTACAGATACTTGTTGACCCTAATTCCATTGCGTAGACAGGCCTCAAGGCCCGCGCACATGCCGCCTAGCGGCTCATAAAGTGTGACTCCTTCCTGTGTGGCCAGAGGGAAGAACTGGGCTCCCACTGAAACCTTCAGGGTGTCACGGTCTGTAGGCACCGAGGGACTGAGCCCACCGGAACGTTGTGCAGCGGACAGCCACTCAGTTGCGAGGCTTTGCAGCTGGGTCCGGGCTGCGGCTCGCTGAGCATCTTCGGCCTCGGGCGGCGGCTCAAGCGATTCAAAACACCAACCGTTCCATCCGCAGAGATTCTCCTCCGGGGTGGGGCAGAAGGTGTCACTGAATGGGGCAACGGATGCCGCTGTATGGATAGTGGCGCTCGCCAGCTGATGGTCAGCCCACGCTGCCCGCACGGATGCAGCAGCGAAGGCCGGGGTGAGAAGTGCGGACTCCCCGACTTCCTCGTCCTCATCAAGCCGGGCGCCAGTGTTGTCAGCCTTGCTTGGCGCGGGGTTGCGGGACAGGGTGTCCGCGTTCTGATGCTTAATTCCCGGCCGATGCTCGATGACAAAATTATATTCCTGCAACGCTAGTGCAAAGCGTGCATATTGTCCTGTAAGCCCCTCCGAGCTCATCAGGTACAGCAGTGGTTGATGGTCTGTAATCAGCTTAAACGGAGGGCCGCCGATCAGGTGGTGCCGGAACATCTTCACAGCCCACACGGCGGCCAGCATCTCTCCCTTGTAGCTGCTGTAGTTTGCTTCGTGCTTGTTAAGCGAGCGGCTGATACAAGCACACATGTATTCGTTTCCGTCGTCATTGACTTGCCCGAGGACGGCTCCTATGCCCTTATTGGAGAAATC